CACTTTTTAGTTTTTCTTTTGAAATTGTTTCGTTTTTATAGAAAATTTGTAAAAACAGTACATAGAGGTATTTTGTATCAGAAACATTTTATCTAAATCATTTAAGTTGTCATCATGACAAATCTAGTGTGTATTTGCTACTAACAAAACATAGTCTTACAAAAGCGCTACAAAACATTTGCATTGATGATCTATAGACCACTATCACAGTTTACCTGTCATTTTAATAATGTCTTTTATAGTAAGAAGATGCAGCTCAGAACCATGAATAGAATGTATTTGTCATGTCTCTACTATCTTTTAGTCTGGAGAATTTTCCTAAGCATCCCTTGGTTTTCATGGCTTTGACACTTTGAAGTTATTTTGTAGATGGCTCCTCAATTTGGAGTTGCTGTATGTTTTCTCATACTAGACTTTGATTATTCATTTTAGCAGAAATATCATAGTAGTCATTCCATGTTCTTCTCATTGACTCTGTTAGTACTGAAGTTTAATTTTCTATTACTAGTGATTTAACTTGGACTACCTGATTAATGTAGTATCTATTAATATTAGGGTTATCAACTGTAAACTTACTATTAGGTCATTAAATATGAAATGTCCAATTTTGAATCAAAAGTGTAGTTTATTGTGCCTCAAACAAGAAGCAGTACAATTAATCTATGTATGCACCTAAAGTATCGACACAGTTTTGCCATCGTAACAATAGCTTGTTTATGCCAGCAACGAAAAAATCCTGGCGAGTGAGTGGCGATGAAATTGTGAAAGGTGTTTTTCCACAGCTTGTTGAGAATTGAATATTTTTCCTTGCAAGAAGTGTTCAAAATCTTGGAAGAAGTGGTAGTCAGTTGGTGCAAAGTCTGGTAAATATGGTCAATGACAGAGAGTTTCCAAGTCCAGCTGTTGTAGTTTGAGTAGCCTTGTTTGTGTGACATGTGGTCCAGCGTTGTCTTGCAAGAGTATTGATCTGTCTCTATTGACCAATCTCAGTTGCTTAATCACAAGCATCTTCATCATTTTGTCCAACTGGCTGAGGGCACACATCTACTGTAATCAATTGTTGAGGTTTCATGAAACTGTAGTAGATAATACCAGCGCTGGACCACCATACAGATACTGATAGCTTTTTCTGGATAAATATTTGGTTTTGGACTGTGTTTCAGCACTTCATCTTTATCCAACTATTGTGTCAAACTCTTGTAATTGTCAAAAAGAATCTTTTTTATCACATGTAACAATGTGGTATATAAATGGTTAACCTTTATGTCATGACATCAAAGAAAGGCAAACTTTGAGACTATTTCTCTTCTGACACTCATTTAATTCATGTGGAACCCATCTATCCAGGTTCTTTACCTTGCCCATCGGTTTGAAATGGTCCAGTACTGTTGGAATAGTAATATCAAACTGTGCTGCTGATTCACACACAGGTTGACATTTCTACTATAGTTTTCAGTTCATTATCCACCTTGTTCTCAGCTTGCCCACATGGCTCATTTTCAAGATTAAAATCACCAAAGTAAACTTCTCAAACCATCCACATTCTGTGCGTTCATTAGCCACATCCTTCCCAAATATTTTGTTGATATTTTGAGCTGTCTGTGCTGCATTGGTTCCACGACGGAACTGATATTCAAAAATAACATGAATTTTTTACTTAACCATGGTTTCCCAAAAATTGCTCGAAAAAAATTTGAAATATAATCACAAGCCAAACTATGTATTTGAGAGATGACAATGTACCTTCACAATAAAAATAAAACAAGAAGTGACAAAATGAAATGTTAGAGATATCAACTATCAAAGAGTACTTAAGAAAATTAGACATTTTATGTTTAATAACCTAATATAATCCTTTTATAATTAATTAGTAATCTGAGGATAAGTACATTAAGCCTATTTCTATTTATTATTTCCTCATCTAACTTTCAAGTACTTGCCTTAACAACCATTGTTGTTCCTTGACTGAATCCATGTATGCTTTGTTTTTCATTAAAATTGGCTATGGATTTTTTGACATGTTCTCATCTTTTTATTTTTTTTTAACTTCATTAATTTCTGACACCACAAGTTGTTGCAAGCTTATTTTATACTTTCTCTATCCCAGTTCTGGAATCAGCCATTTCTGTCAGGAGCCCTAGTAACATTCAGTCAAGAATGATATTTGGGAATCAAGATCTGGCTTCTAGGTGTGCTCATTGCTACTGGAGTGTTGTAAATCCCACGTCCTCTCAATCCATAGAGCTACCTCAGAAATTGTTTTCTAAATGGCATTTCCAAAAAAACTCCTTGTAGAAATGGCTGCTTACAGTCAGACACATACAAATGCACACACATACACATCTACACCCCTTTACATTGTTTTTCCTTTCTTTATCCACCTACATAAATGAAAAACATGGTTCATACAGATCCCACCAAATACCAAATCATTAGTATACAGGATCATTTTAGTTTTCGACCTTTCTCTAACTGTAACTCTCTTCTTCAAAAGTGAAACAACTTTTATAATACTTCTAATATGTACCAATTTTATCAATGTCATTGGAAAAATCGATCCTCCATCACTCTAAACTCTCTCCTACACCAACCCAGGTTATGTGGACCCTCCCCTTTCCTGATCAGACTCCAATATTCCTCTCTATGCTGCTGTTTTGTTTTTTGGCACATGGACACTTCTTTTTACCCTGCCTGGTTCCCAACACACCTCACTGGACCCAGAAGTACCCCCTCACTCCATTCACTCTGCTTAGTTTTTGATGCTCAAAGGCAGGCTGTTGTTGTGCTCTACTCCACCCCAACAAAGAAGCCTACCTTGTCCAATTAAGTAGAACTAAATTATTGAAGAGAGAAAATGGAAGTAAAGAAGGAAGGAGGAAAGGGAAGAAAAAGAGAAAAAGGAAAAAAATATTTTTGAAATAAAATCCACTAGACAGGTAAATCTGTTTTATATTTTTCACTGAATATGTAACAACATTTTATGCTAAACTTTGGCTCTTAATGTTTTGCCCTTTGGAAGTAAGGTAATCTGTTACAGTGTAAAACATCATATGCCAAATGATCTTGACCTTTTACTAGGTCAAATAGGCCAATTAAATATTAAACTGTGATATTTACAAATATTTGGAACTTAAATTTATGTTTTTCTTACATTTCATTTAAAGTCAGATTATATGCTTAGTGTTTGGATTCTGTAGGAAAAATTAAATTTTCTATGATATATTAGTTTTAAAGGCTCTTATCAAGGATATCATATTTATAAATATTGATGTTTAAATACATGTTTCCCACCTAAGGGTCAGTGTCTAATTTATTTTCATATCTCTATTACAATTTAAATTGAGAACAGCTTTTCTCGAAACAAATTTTTAGCCTGGCATTGTATAAAACTCGAGCTATTAGAGAAATTGCAGCATTTAAAAAAAAATTCCAAAACATTCTCTTATTTAAAATGAATAATTTCAATTTATATTATGGTTGGGCGGAGGGAAATGCACTAATTTTATCTTCATGAGAAGGGTAGTCATCTAATATATTTTCCAATGAAAAATGTAATATACAGTAAATATTGTGATATTCAAAGGTACACAAACATTAAATATTTCTGTGAATTTAATGGTATTATTTAAATATCATCAATATAATGTTCTCTTTTTCATATGTTTTTTCCCAAGATTTTAAACTCTTGATCCTAAGTAAATTCTGATCATTTATCAAGTTTAACCTAATAGAAAACTATATAATTTATAAAAATAGCCATATATAATAGTGCAAAATTAATGTATGCACATATATTGATCATATATGCAGTTATTTATAAAAATTTCACACTAATTACAAGGAAGTTCACCTAATTTCCTAAGGCTCAAAATTAACCTTAGTAGTGAGTGCTTCTTGTCAGTACAGTTGATACTTCAATTTATTACTAATGAATATTGATGTATCTTGTTACATTTCATTTTATTAGAATTTAATTTGCTTATAAAATTGTTTCTTGATATTTCTAAATGTGAAAAGCCTACTTACCATGATTTCCATTAAAAATAAATTCCTAATGACTTTATGGTAGACAATAAATATTAGTTTATTTTCTTCCTTCTTTCATCATTTCTCTCTTTTCCCTTCTGTCTTAGCTCTCTCTTACTTTGAATTTTTCTCTCTGTCTTCTAGCCTCAATTCCTTCTACACACTATCTTGTCTCCTTTCTTCCTCAGTGTAGTAAAACTTAAATTGAAGAAGAACAGCTTTTCTAGTTTATGTAAAAATTTGAGTATTTTGAGCTTAATAAAAAAATTTCCCCATGTGGCCTTTACAACTGATGACATTATGTCTGAAAATATATTTATATAATAAAATGAACATCTTTCATAACTTAATATACAATTACACTTACATATAAGATCTCTATTACAAATGTTTTAAAATTTCTTTACAGAAGCTGTTTATTCTATTAAAACATAGCATTCAGTAATTTTATGATATTTCCTTATCTAGTCCTAAAGGACTGTTAATCACATTTTTCCATCTGAGCTATACAAACTATTTTTAAAAGAGTATTTTCAGATTCTAATCAATCTTGTAAAACATAATGGCAAATTTCATATATATACATATATAAAACTAAATATATGGATGGGTTTCTGGTTAAAATGATTTTTTTTTTGCTTTCCATGTTATTTCTACATCTTTAAACTTTAAAGCAAAATTACAGTGTTTTTATTTGAATGAAATGAAACATTTTCAAACAAAAGAAATCAGGGTTTAAAATCAGTCTTGATCAGCAAACACATTCTAAGTCTTCACTATATGTTAGATACAACTGTTATAATTTTTAAGGCACTGATTCATTCTTTTAAATAATAACCTGTATCATGACTCATAAAAATGCAAAAGATATTATTTGCTAACATTTAAAAATAAATGATACAATATTACCAATTTAAAATTTTATTTGCTTACAGAAATATTTTATATCTCAAAAATTATTTTTCTACACTTACCAGCCAAAGCAAGAATATATTCTTGAAATCTTGTTCCTATGCGGTTAGTGGCTGTGCAATTATATCGTCCAAAATCATTGTCAGATGTAGGTGCAATCTAAAATAATCATAATAATAAAAGTTACATTTCTAAAGCATCACAGAAGTTTTAAAATAAACTATAATAAGCCTACCACTTGCACACATGTTCAATTATTTACCCCACAACTCCTTGCCATAACTGTTTTATTTTCTTTACAAGCAAGCATTATAAAATAACATAAATCATTTAAAGATGTATCTACAAAGTGATACTATCCATAGGACTAGATGAATCATAGTGTATTTATTAATTGATTAAGTGGACAAATGCCACCATTTTGATGTATCTGTTGAATAGTAAAACCATTATATCCTCCTATACATTAAGTTCAGAAAGTAGCATACGCTTGAAAATAATGTATAGCAATCGATGCTGGTGTAAACTTGAAAAACGAAGGCTCGTTCCAAAAACATTGTTACCGCTGTTTTTTCTCTTTTGCTTCAGACCAGGCAGATTTAAATTTTAAGAAAGGCTCAAAATATTTGAAGTTTTCTCCCTTTCTTAAGTTTACTGAACATAAAATGCTAATGAAGGATGAGAAATTCTTAAAAGCAAAATCTTTCCAGAAAGGTATTCTGCAAGAAAATATTACCCTTGTGCAACAATCCCTGTAGACAGGTACTTTTTCTTGATATCTAATAACGGTATCTTGCCTCAATTTCCATTCAATTCCTATCATTCTCTTTCAGTTTAGGCGGAACATAACTGACCTTAATCATTACACATTTGAAATCCATAATTAAGTTAACCTTAGGGGATTCTATTGGTGAACACTGGGACCAACCTAGTAATTCTAATGTCCAGAAATCTGATCTAAAGTATCAATTTAGAAAAGAAATTTGATGATAGTAACAGATATAATTTTCAATCCCAGTAACTATTATTAAGAGAGAATATGCTCTTAACAAGAGTTGCTGTTAATTTCTACTCTATCCCAAAAGAAGGAAAAATGATTTTGTGGTAATAGGAGGCTATTAACTAAAAGTGCAATTTTGAGGTCCATTGAAGATGATAATTCTTAAATGGCACAAAAAAGCTGTGTCATTCATTTTCTAGTCAGCTGTCCATTTAGGAAAAAATCATACAATTAAAGTTTAGAAGTTTTAACAGCTCATATATGAGTACTTATAAGTGATTAAAATATTAACATTTATTATATGTGCAGCTTTTAATAAACAAGGCTAATTTAGCTCTAAAATAATTTTACTAATGAGAAAGATCTAACAATACATTTCCTATTCTACAGGCATATGCAAAAGTTATCTGTATATTCAACAAAGAAGAATGTGTTTTCTGAATCAATACAATATAAAGACAGGATAGCCACAAGAAAGAACTGTGGCTATTGCACAGATCCTTAAAATTAATAATTTAAATACAGCCATTTTCCTTGGAACAATTTTAAAAAGGCTCAATTCTTTATACATATTATATTTCTCTTTTCTCCTCAATACTCTCTCAATCTCTCAAAACCAGATCAAACTCTCAATCTCTCTCCTCTCTCTCTCTCTCTCTCTCTCCTCCTCTCTCTCTCTCTTTCTTTCCTTTCTTTTTTATTACCTGACTTGGAGTGCAGTGGCATCATCATAGTTAACTGCAACCTCAAACTCCTGGCCCAAGTGATCCTTCTACCTTAGCCTCCCAGGAATCTGGCACTATATATGGCAGACATATGCCACCATGCCTGGCCAATTGTATGTGGGGTTTTTGTTTGTTTGTTTTTTGAGAGATGAGATCTCTCCAAAATGGTCAAAATATCACCATTATCAGGAATTTGGGAAAAGTTGGTTCTACCTCTCATGGATGACCACAAGGGGTTCAAGACTTCAGTAGAGAAAGTAACTGCATATATGGGGAAAAAATTGGGAAAACTGGAATTAAAAGTGGAGCCCTTGGCCGGGCGCAGTGGCTCACGCCTGTAATCCTAGCTCTCTGGGAGGCTGAGGCGGGAGGATCACTCGAGGTCAGGAGTTCGAAACCAGCCTGAGCAAGAGCGAGACCCCGTCTCTACTAAAAATAGAAAGAAATGAATTGGCCAACTAACATATATAGAAAAATTAGCTGGGCGTGGCATGCCAGTCCCAGCTACTCAGGAGGCTGAGGCAGGAGATCGCTTGAGCCCAGGAGATTGAGGTTGCTGAGCTAGGCTGATGCCATGGCACTCACTCTAGCCTGGACAACAGAGTAGATCTTTCTCAAAAAAAAAAAAAAAAAAAAGTGGAGCCCGAAGTTGTGAATGATTGCTGCAATCTCCTGTGGCAACTTTAACAAATGAGGAGTTGCTTTTCAAGGATGAGTAAGTAAAGTGCTTTCTTCAGAAGGAATCTGCTCCTGATCAAGATGATGTGGACAATGTTAAAATGACAAGAGAGTTAGAATATAACATAAACTTAGCTGATAAAGCAGTGGCAGTCTCAGAGGATTGGCTCTCATCTTAAAAGATGTTCTATTGTGTGTGAAATGCTATCAAACAGCATTATATAAGACAAGAAAATATTTTGTGGGAAAAAAGTTAATTTATACAGCAGACTTCATATTTATCTTACTATAAAAAATTGTCACAGCCACTCCAACTTTCAGTTACCACCATTGTGGTCAGTCCGCCACCTACATCATCCACACCACGGCAAGACCCTCCACCAGCAACAAGGTTATAACTTGCTAAAGGCTCATATGATTGTTAGTATCTTTTAGTAATGAAGTATTCTTTTTTTTTTTTTGAAGATTGGGGTCTCACTATGTTGCCCATGTTGGTTTTGAACTCTTGGCCTTAAGTGATTCTCTCAACATCCCAACATCCCAAATTGCTGAAATTACAGGTGTAAGCCACCAAATATAAAGTAGTTTTTAGTTAAGGGATATACATTGCTTTTTTTAGATATAATGCTACCGCATTCTTAACAGGCTACAATATGGTGTAAATATAACTTTTATAAGCACTAGCAAACAACAAAAAATTGTGACATGCTTTATTACATTACTTGCTTTATTTGAAGTAGTCTAGAATAGAACTTGCAATATCCCCAAGGTATGCCTCTATCTAATGAAAATAAATTTAATTTATTTTATGACTCTAAGCTTTGATAAAATATAATCCATTGAAAATAAATTTATTTTATGATTTTAAGCTTTCACAGAATATAATGGATCAACAAACACAGTTGTGAACATCTAAATATAAGCTGAGACTACAGTGTTAATAAAGACACTTGCTAGTGTTTCAATCAAAAACTTGATTTCTTCTTTCTACGACTTCCATGATAAGAAAAATAATTGATGTAATAGTTAGCATCCTTAGAAATCTATTATTGACCAATTTGTTAAGTGCAAATTTGATTTATTATATATTTTATTATATCTTCCTTAAGTGTTAGCACTTATGTGACTATTACAATTATTAAATAAAAATAATACTTTCTTATTCCAAGAAACTATGTATGCTACTAATTAAATATTAGTAATGCTTATTGTTGTGTTTTCTTTTTTGTTATTGTTGTTTTGCTATACTTTGTTTTCAAGTTGTAATAGTTATACATCAATATTCTTTATTCAGGATTTAAATTTAATTTGTGCAAAACAGTCTGCACATAAAACATGTATGTTCAAAGTCAAAGCTTTAACCAGCATATCCCTTAGCTCTGTGCAAAGTAAACAAAAAATGTTTATTTTTCACTTTGGAGTACAAAGGAATGCCATTTAAGCAGAAGTTTAAATAGCATGAAATATTTATATAATTAAAGTATATAAAGGCTGTGTCTATAAAATGTCCCTTAACATTAACTACGAAGAATTATGAGTTGTCCCCAAAACTAAAAAATGTCAACATGAAGTAAAGCAGATATTACTCCATCATTTAAACATAAACTTAAATTTACCTGTTTCGGACTGAACTTATGTCCAATCCTCACCCCTGTCAAATTGATATATCGAAACTATAACTGTCAGTGTGAATGTATTTGGAGATGGGATCTTTAAGGAGGTAATTAAGTTTAAATGAGGCCATAAGACTGAGGCCTAAACCAGTAGGCCTGGTGTCCTTATAAGAAAAGGAATAGATGCCAGATTAGGTGCCAGAACTCTGTCTCTCTTTCTCTCTCTCTCTGTGCACAGGAAAGGGCATGCGAGAACACAGTAGGAAGGTGGCCATCCACAAGTTAAAAAAAGTCCTCTCAAGAAACCAACCCCATGGGCACCTTGATCTTCGACTTCCAGCCTCCACAACTGAGAAAATATATTTCTGTGATTTAAGCAATCCAGTCTATGGTATTATATTATGGTACTCAAGGAGAATACAGTAGTACCCCAACTGAAGTTAAATCTAACCTCATCTTTTAAACTAAGCTAAATCCAAAAATTTAGTTTAAAACTGCCCAATTTTTTGGTGAAATTGGCATCCCTGTCAATTCACGAGTAGCTAGTTCTAATATGATTTCAAAGAAACTTATTTAAATCGAAATACATTTAGACAAAGTGTCTTAATTACCAAATAGTTAGTTACCCAAACATGTGGAAATCTGATGGCTAAATTCTTTTATTGTACAAACCTTTTTCTAAGTCTAATAGTCATTAATGAGGACACCCTAAGTTAATGCAGTATAAGCATCGGATGTTACTCTAAAACATGCATTTCTTTTAGTTCATATACACTGAATTAGTGAATAAAAATATAGGAGCTTTTTAGCTAAATAAGGTGGTGCTGATTTCCAGTTATTCTACCAACATTGTAAGTTAAAAGGACTCCTGATCATTTCCATAAATGTGTATAAACTTTTGAAATTGATAAACACACAATCTGCAATTAATAAATAAAGGCATTTTATTCGAACAATATTTACAGGCCAGTCACTTGGCAGTATAAGAACAATTACATATAATCTTAATTTTAAAAATAAGATAAAATGAGGCACTGAACAAGTAAATTTGGTTTATTTAGGAACCTGAATGCAGTGGAATTGTAAATATGTAGCCAGCAGATAGGATTTAAGTATACCAGTCTGAGGATAACAAAGTTACACTGAAGTTGAATTATTGGTGCTCCATAACTGCCAAACTATTAATATTTTTTCCCTATTTGTTTCCTGATATAATTGTTTTTCTTTCTAAAAGTAAATTCAAGAAAAATAATGGTTTGGGCTAAATACCTATATTTCTATTTAAGTAAACACTAGGACAAATCAATGGGTCATAATCCAATTGACCTTTAAGTAAATAAACTTTATATATTTAAATATATACATATTTAAATATATATTTGTATATGAAGACATTTAAATATATCTAAAATGGTAGATAATTGCTAAAATAATACAATTTATTGATGTATACATGCATACTTACCTCTAATATCATCTTTTTTCCTATACTGTATGTCTTTAAATTGGTGGTGTTTTTAGCAGGTAAGACTAATTTTTCTTTTCTCCAGTGGATTGATGCTGGTGGGTTTGATTTCACATCACAACTTATATTGATAGGATTTCCTTCCCAAGAGTAATAAATTGTTTGGTTTGATGTAAACTTGGGAGCATCTAAAAAACAATATAATAAAACATATAGATAGCTTTTTAATGTTAAATAATCATTTAGATTTAATTAGCATAAATATTAGTAATTTTTACTTGACAATAAAAATAAGCGATACCATTCTAATTTCACATACAGGTAGGCCCCGAGTTACAGACAAGATACATTCCTGAGAACGGCTTTAGGTCAAAACTGTATATAACTCAGATCCTTAATGAACAGCCCATATATGATAATAATAATAATACTATAAAGGTTCATATGTGGTAATAATAATACACTGTAATACTGTAATAATAATACTCCATATTGTAATAAGTTACAGAAGCTATTGTGTTCTTTCTTTTAATTCAAACAAAAAGAACATAAAATCATACAAGAATTCACATTTTATGACTGTATGAAAACATCACATGTACCCTGTAAAGATATACAACCATTATATACACATAATAATAAAAAATTAAAAAAAATTAAAGTTTAGCTGGGAGATAGGAGTAATTTCAAAAAAGAATATTAAATGTTAACACTCATCTAATGTTGTGTCAACCCTAGGCTAATAGGAATGTTACGCTTATTATGATGTTCTAACCAAATCAATAATAGCCTTTCCATTTCAATAATTCATCCACTACTCTGCTTAGTAATAATTGATGCCTTCAGTGGAGCGCTGCCTTTCACATGTACTATAATTCTCACTTTATCCTTTATAACTGTTCTGAGAGTGGAGTGACTGAAGCCTAATGCTTTCCCAGTGAATGATGGCATCTGCCCTCTCTCTAAATGCTTAATTATTTGTACTTTCATTTCCATCCTAATCACCTTTCTCTTCACTGCGGGCTCACCTGGACTTGCAGTGGACTTTCATTTTGGAAGCAAGATCAGAAGAGTCAACACAAACTCACAAAATTGGATGAAAAAGTTAAAACAAAAGTGCTGCTGCACCTAAGCAACAGCATAAATAATGAGACTAGCCACTGGCATAAGATGCTGCACCAACAAAGCGCTTATGCCATGCAGGTTTGTTTATGTGCACGGAAAAGACTAGTTCCCGAATTATTAATCTAATTATTTAATTATAAATTATTTTATGTGGAGCCTTGTTCATAAGTACGAACACCATTAAGTTGGATCGTCCATAATTCAGGGACTGCCTGTATTTCATATATGGCATCAGAACTCATACAAGTATGCTATTTGAATATTTCTTAACATGATTATAATATTATTAATACAAAAACATTCATATCTAGCCAACTATTAAAATATGAAACAAAAACCAGAGTTTAGTTTGTTCTTAATCTGACAAAAGTTTCTATCAATTTAATTAATGGCTGTCTACATCTCTAGAAATTGTTTCTGGAACAAGCTATATTATAAAGTAAGAGTTTAGTATAAAATCTAGTTAAATCAATGGTTCTTATGTCACTTAAATCTAGCTAGGCATAATAATTTCTTCTATTAAATATATATGTGTATATATATATGCATATATATATATATATATACATATATATATATATATATGTAAATAGGGTCTGGCTCTCTCACCTAGGCTCAAGTGCAGTGGCACAATCATAATTTGCCACAGCCTAAAACTCCTGGACTCAAGTGATCCTCCTACCAAGTAGCTGGCAGGCATTACCATACCTGGCTAATTTTTTTCTTTTCCTAGAGACAGGTTCTTTCTGTGTTTCTCTGGCTGGTCTCAAACCCCTAGCCTCATGACATCCTGCCTACCAAAGTGCTGGGATTACTGGTGTGAGTTCACTGAATCTGGCTTCTTCTGTAAAATATTTTGAGAAGCATGCATGAAATCTAAGTGGAAATGGCAACATCACAACCAAACACCAATTTTTTTTCCTAAGGTATCTACATTTCCAATTTTTATTAAACCAGAGTTGTTCTAAATTCATAAAAAAACAATTAATTTGAATATTAACCAGTCCCCATTCCTATGATTCCATGCCAAATTTCCGGTCTCTACACCAGAACTCTCTAATAATAGCTGAGAGAAAACAGACAATATATTATATCATTTTATTTTTAATAAACCTAATTTTAAAGAAACATGTTGTTTTTACTCTTGCTCTACTCCAGAACTAGAACCTATAGAAAAATGCCAAATATTATAACCTCTTTGAACATTAATTTCCTGATTGCATGATTATTTGAGAGGATTGTTTTTTATTTTTACATAAAAACATGATTTTCAATTAAGTTGTATTATATACAACAATTAAGTTGCTGGTATTTACACTGATTATTATTGTTAGTAATATTAACTACTTAAACATAATATCGTTTCATAAATTATCAATTTCCATTGTCTGTTTTAAACATTTTATTACTCATAATGGCTAAAATAATCTATATAAAATTTTGTTATAGCTACTAATTACATATCAGATATGTAGTATAAAATTATAATCTATAGTCAAATTACAGAAGCAATAATTTTAAAAATCTCTGTCCCATTTTTAACATATAGTTTTAATGTCATAAAGCTGAAATGTTTATTGACTTCTTTCTACATGACAATAAATTTATACACCTATTCCATTTGATATTTTTAATAATTTCATAAGGAAAGTATAATCCATATTTTATCAATGAAGGATTGGGGGTTAGAGATGTCAATCTAATTTCAGTACTAATTTACTAATTTTAAGGGCTGGAAGTTGAATCCAAGGCTATTTTAACCAACATTCATTATATTCCCAATCAAACCCAGAAATAAAATTATAATATTCAATGCTAGCAACATTTTGGTAATGTGAACCCTATCATACATTATTGAGTAGCATATAATTGGAACTATTTCTCAAGAAGATAAAGAGCCTTAGAAAGCTTTATAATCTTGATTCTGCAATCCAATCCAGTTTTAGGTATCTTTCCAGAGAAAATAATTAGAAATATTATAAAGGTTTATAGAAAGGACTTTTAATGCATTATTATTTTCATAACAAAAATTCACAACAACTTAATGCTGTACAGAAGAGTATTTATTCAATAAAATAGTGGTATAGCTTTATACTTAGGTGTGCTAAATATTACACAGACATATTTGCCCATATATTTTGTTTTTTGGCAACTTTGCATGTGCCATCAACAAGCTGCCTTTAGAACTAAGCTCCACACTTCCTAAACACAGCCTTTCCACGCCCTTCGATTCTGGGTGAGTCTCCCTACTTCATGCACCCACAGCATTCATGTTCTCTGTCATGATAATCACCAGGCATTGGAAGAATTGATTTATTTCTTCCCCAAAGGATCTGCATTTGTGGGTTAGAATGTGTCTCAGTCATAAGTATTTACCTGATAGCTTACATAGTGTTCTCAAAACTCAAAAACTGCACATCAAATGGACTGAAAGTTAAACAATGACTTAAATTTAATTGAGCAGTTCAACCAAATTGAAAGGAAGATATGTCCAAGAGAGAAAACAAAAACCAAAAAGCTTCAAGTGAGAGAAGTGAAGAATCTAAGAACACATAACTACTTCAAGGAACAACTATATGAGAAGCCAAGCTTCTTGATATTCACAGTCAAAAGCTAAGCTTATATATATATATACACACAATATATATTATTACTGTTAAATATATAAAATGTAATTTCCTTAGCATTATGCTATTTATAGAAAGGTTTATAGATAGTATAATTACAAAGAAATATAGCCAAATATGAAAATCATACATGCTAATGAAACTATTAGCAGCTGACTCACAGTCATACTCTGTCCACAATGTGATATCTATATGTATGTGTATTATATTATTATAATTTAACTATAAACTTATGGTAAGATTTGGTTTTCCTATAAAAGAAAGCAATTGCAACTAATTGCTTACTTGATGATCTCAGTGGGAACTAAATTCAGAATTACTGATGTTGAATGTAATATGTGCTACAGGCAATACATGCTATACTAAAAGCCACATTAAAAATACATATTTGTGGTGTGAGGCAACAAAATATTGATAATTCTTGTCTACAATAAAACAAGAACTAAATTTCTGTCCAATAGCAAATATCAAAACAGTAGCAAGGCAGCAATAGTTACGGATACAAGGTTAGCATATTAATGAAATTAAAGAATTGGTATTGGGTCAATGTGGGATGAAGGATGTGACTGGCACAACAACATGTGAAAAGGGTAAAAATTGTAGCAATATTTCATGTTGGTATACCAAACTTTGTAATTTTCAGAAAATAAGAAGGGCTTTTACATCATGAAAGGCTTCAAATGCTGTACAAAGGAAATATATTTTGCTTTTTAAAAGAAAAACAGAAAAGGATGAGAAGAGAAGAATATGACATGAGCAAATCTAGAAATATCAGCAATTGCTGACATATATATATCACATATATATCTCATATATATCAGATATGTATGAAAACTTTCACCATGAAATTATTAATATTATTTTCTATAAATTTTGCACATTTGACATATTAGAGTTAAATAATAATCTATAAGTTTATTTAAAATTGTGAACTGACAGATAAGTTAACCAGTTGTTTCAATGGACATGCTTGAAGTTCTGACTCCGGTGGGGCAAAGGCAATATATGTAACCTAAACATTTGTACCCCTGTAATATGCTGAAATAAAAAAAATAAAAGAAAGTCAAAGATGATCCTGTAAATTCCAGTTTGAGAATTTTAAAATACTATTATGAATTAATACAAAATGTTTAAAAGTATTAAAAATGTATTTGCTTATTTTTTTGCCTAGAATTTGTGCCCTATATTCTATGCATAGAGAAAATTAATTCCTAATTACATAAAATAAAGCATTATGGAAATATTTCTTGTCTTTCCCCAAATTCTATTAAAGTCAAAATTAATATATTATTATAATTACAATTCTAATACTAATTATAAGGAACAGAAATAAGTTTATTGGAAGAACTGGAAGAACAAATTTTTCTGAATAAAGTAGAAAAGAAAAATCAGAGAAATCTGAACAGTGACAAGATATAAATATATCATTCACTGGG